GGATAAGATCAAGGCCGCTGGTGGTGTTTGCCTTTTGCGAGCATAATTTTCATTCGCTTATCCAATTGAATAAAGATGGAAAACATTTCAATGACAAAAACAATTACTTTTTTTTATTTACTTAGTTTCTTTTCGGTATAAGAAATAACCAAAGAAGTATAAGAATAGTTTGAAGTTTACTGGTTCTAGGGAGAGAACACTTGGAATTCATTTACTGAGCGTAAACAGTATTTTTATCGGAAAATTTACTCCTTTTTCACTGTATAACTGCTAAACTCTTCTGGTATCTTGTTTAGAATGAATTGATAATGGTATGCTTATGTAAAACTTCGGATAATAATGCATTGGATGAAACTTGCAGCCGTTAAAAAAATAGGAACGTTTGGGATATTTACCAAATTTTTTTTACGATTCTAAATGCTGAGATGGAAAAACAAACCATGGCATGATCGATTTTAGCGGTTGATCAATATATTTAGAAAGTTTGGAAAGATGCGATGAACAACAATTCGATATTCAAATGAAACTTTCAGTTTTGGCGACGCCTTGTCATGATATTACCGACAGATATTGGAAAAGTTATGGCATTTACCGAGATTCAAATTCAAATGATTGAAAACAAGAATTGAAAACACTCTTACAAATACTCACAATGTAATCAACCATTTTTGATTTCAAACTGTATCACCAGGGTTGACATTTTAATGAAACCTTTAAAATTATATGGAAATATATCCAAAAACTAAATAAAAGTTTTTTGTGATCTGCATTGATGAAATAAACGAAAACAAAGATTTTATTTTTTTAAATTTATCTGTGCTAAAAGCATTTTTTCATTTATTTTCATATTATTGAAACATTACATTTAAAAAAAGTTTGATAAGAATGGTTGAAATAATGAGGGCGAAAAATAAATGAATATGAAACACAAAAAAAATGTCAAAAGTTTTGTTCGCAGGAAATATTTTGTTTAGAAATGAATCTTATGCAAATTAATTTACATTTATCAAATTGGAAAAATATTTCGACACGCATTCATTCACACGTTTATGTCCATTCATGATTCCAAAGTGAAAAATTTGTCACTGTACTTATATAATTATATAGAAACTTATTTTGTTTTATAAAATTTTAGATGTTCTTTCCCACTATATTTGTAAATTAATATGTGATCGTACATTACACGCACACATGTTTTCGTTTTATTTTTTTTATTTTTTGATTATATTTAATATTCGTTTAATCTACATAGTAATCATAATTAGAATTCCACTTAAATTTCATTCAACATCAGCTCAATTAACAAGGTCGTTAATCTTTATATGATCTTGTACATATGATGTCTGCGAATATGTGTATGTGTATGTGTATGTGCTTTGTATTGATGTTTGCAATGAATTCTTATTTAATTTATTACTAAGGAAAAAAAATAAAAATAAAATATTCTTTCAATCTATAATAATCAAGTAGTATTTGTTTGCTTTTCATGTATACATTTACTCAAAAAAGAAAGAAATGAATCAAGTCATTTTCGAGTGTGAAGTAGCGGTCTGTATGTGTCCTATGCATAGGTGTAAAATCATAAACTCTATCAAATTCTTAGAATACGTTTATAGTTGCTTTGAGTCATTTTGTGTTTTCAAAAAGAAGAGAAAAAAAAATTATCGATCTATCTATTATCGACTATTGTTGTAACCTTTTTGTTTATATAGTAAGTATTTAAAAAAAATATATCTCAAATTAAATGTAATTGTAAATATATGAAGTAATTAATTGGCGCAGTTATTTACACTTTTTACTTATGCCTAATTTCAATTGTTGCTTTTTCTACGTTTCTTTTTTCATCTTTTTTTTTCTTTATCTCTTTCATACATTCCAGTAGAAAATATCTGTTTAAAAATTTATTTACATACGTTTTAGATTACGTGTGAAAGATCGAATGGAATTTCTTTTCGAAATTTGGGGTTTGTTGGCCCCCAAAAAAATAATAATGAGTTTTCAATTTAGATTAAGAAAATTAAATCGATCATTACGTAAGTAGGATGCACCAATTATAATGCGTATTTGTTTGTTTTTCTCTTTTTCAATTTGATCATCTTCATTTTAATGACATAATAATGGAAACCAAAACATACATACCAACTCATGTGTGTATTCTTAACTAAATGTTAATTGTATGTTTTGGCATCGATAATAATAGAAAAAAAAAAGAAATTTAATAAAATGCATGGCGATCAGAGAAAGAAAATGCTTTATAAATAAACTATGAGCAAATAAATAATATAAAATTCGTACTCGAAGGTAAAAAAAATATGTTTTCCAATTTCATCTGGATTCAAACTGATTCAGTATTAATTCTTTTGTTCACTGGATTCATTTACTTATTTCTATTGTTTGTTCAGGTGAATATTGCTTTTAAAATGTTGGAGCTCACCCATTAAAAGTCATTGGATAACGTAAATGATTTTTCTTCATATATTGTTGTAATACTGTGATTTCTGTCGTTTGTGTCATTTTTGTTATTTGGTTTGTTGAGTTTTGTCATAAATGAACAAGATTTTATACATTGAATTTCGATTTGTATATGAATGGTTCATCCCACTGGGAATTCAATATTAGCATACAATATTAACATCGATTTTCAATGCGTTGCTATTTAACATTTTCGCCAAATTATTTATTGATTTTAAACTAATACTCATCAATTGAAATGTTCTGCAACACATTAATAATTTTTCCAATGAAATTAAATGTGTCTTTCTTCGATCTATCTTATAGACATCAGAAGAAACGAAAAAAATATTTATATATAGATATAATTGATTCGTGTTGTTTGCAGTACAACCTAAAAGCTCTTTTAATTACGGTCATCATCTGTGAGGGGGCATTGGGCATAGGTCTTATTTCTAATTTTCACCATGTGAAATTCATGTATCTGTCGATTCAATGCTTTCGCTTTGTTGAGGTTCCGCAGGCTCAAGATCGAATTCGTTTTCATTTGTCTCTAGTTCTACTTTGCTGTCTTCTTTTGAATCACCTGGATTCGCTTCGGCAGAAGTATCACTAGTCGATAATGCTTCTTCCTGCTCTTGCTCTTCTGGTTCTTGCTCTTGTTCCCGTTCATCATCATCTTCTTTTTCGGTTTGAATCGGCAATGCTGTTGATAGATTCAATTTAGTATGAATATTTAAGATTCACACAAAATTATTATCACACTTACTGTCATGAATTTCAGTTTCATCAAAATCACAATCGGATTTTGGCGATGAAATTGACGTTAAACTGCTATTACTGCTAGATGCAGTGGCGTTCAAAGCTTCTGAGATTGATGTTGAAATTTCTAATGGTAAAAATGTTTGAGCATGAGTGTATTGTTTTTTTAGATTATTGATTTTTTTGTTTAAATAACTAACCATTTTCCAGTACTGTATCCGTTGTTTTGATTAATTCAACCTGTGATGTGGAAAGTCCTTGCAAGTTATAAGATTTCAACCTCTTAGATAGATTTTCTTGTTGCATTTCCAGTAGTGTGGGCGCCGGACTGAATACTAAATCACAAAAAAATAATTGTCCATTAAATACGTTTTTTTATGTATGCATACAACGTCGCAGGATTTTTTTTACAAATATTTCAATTACAGATAGTTCTGTAGTTTGCATAAGAAAAACTGCGTGTGCGTGCATCCAGATTTTTATAAATTTTCGTGCAGTCTTTTTTTTTCGTGTGCAAACTTTTGATATGGAAAAATGAAGAAAAACTGTGAATTTACCTGTTTCTTTTGGTGTATCAATGGATATGCCATTTTTGGGTTTGTCCTCAATTTGCGTTAGTTTTGTAGAATCAATGGGACTTTCAGCCTTCTCAATGCGGTCGACTTTCGGCCTATCCGGAACGGTTGTAAGTTGTTTCCGTTTTCGATATTCGTTAATGGATAATTTTCGTTTCGGTGTTATTGGTGGCAATTCCTTGGGTGGATTTAGTCGTGGATCAGCACTTTGTGTACGTGTTAGCACTTTGGGATTAATTGGGCTATTATTACAAGATGATGTCGTTGAACCAGTTGGTGTTGAAGGCACATTAGATACCGGTGTTGATGGTTCGCTCAATGTGGAATAACTTTTAGTTAGATAGTTGCTGCTGTTTAATAGCGTTGGTGGTGGTACATTTGTATGTATTGGAAATATCGGTGCATTGTATCCCGGATTGTAGCCAGGTGGCCGATTTGGATTTTCCAAATAGTGATACAATGAATTTGACGACGACATATTAGCTGGAATTTGTGTGCTTACGCTTGGAAAGCCGCCAGGTGGTGGTGGAGGTGTTTGATACATCTGTGCAGGTGTAATAGATTGATTGGTCTCATTTCGATGTGCACTATTCATAACATATGCTGAAAATGGATGCGCTGTCGCCATTGGCTGATTTGTACCAACTGAATTTGAAGCTAGGCCCGCATTTGGCGTATATTGATTATACAATGTTTCATCATCATTTTGTATCTTCGCCGATGGTTCGCGTTTATATTCGCGATCATCAGAACTGAATTTGTGAGTAGTTTTTGTTGCAATTTCACCGCTAGATGATGATTGTACGGAGTCTTTTGAGATATTACTGTTTGATGCTTCGTCCAGTGTTGGTGTTGTGGCCCGCGATGCACGTTTTTTGTTTCGTGTTTGCAGTATCATCAGATTTTCACTGTGGAATGAATGTAACTTTTGTTGAATATCTTCGATTTCGTTTTTCGGCAATACATTGAGATTCATTGAATCAGACGTTGTCGCATCTTCTTCTTCGTCTTCTTTTTGTTCAGTATTCTCAAAGTTACAATCTCTGCTAATCGGGTCGTTTATTTCGTCTAAGCCAGATGCCATGTCACCATCGTCCTGCGATTTTGAATCTTCACTGATAAGTTCGTGCTTTGCACTCTCTGACACCAGAGATTTATCTTGACTGTCATCGATTTCATCTTTGATTTCTGTTCGACTACACATTTCTTCGTCTTCATCAGACTCGATTGGCTCAAATTTATCGATATCTGCCAGCATCGATTTATTTTCATCTACTTCTGATTTGACTGAGTTCGGTTCCATTTTTGTTTTGACATCTTTTTCTTCATCTTTGTTAAGCTCAACTTTAAGCTCATCATCTTGAAGTGATTTCTCAGTGTCTCCTTTGAGCATGCTCTCTGAATTTTCTGCAAATCAATATATACTTATATTTACATTTCTATCGTAACCTATACATCATGATACAACAAAAACGGTTTTTTTTTACAAAGCTCCCAATTATAGAAAGCTCTTAAAATCGGAATGTTTTGAGATTGCACTATTTGAAGATTTTACTGTGTATATTTAGAATGGTCAATATTTCTAATTACGTACCATCTTCAAGTGACAAATCTTTGGTGTCCTCCCTTGGCGAGGGCAAATCTTCTGCATTCAAATCGGAACACTGTCGAACAACTCGTCGCTTTTTCAATGGTGCCATAAATCCATTTGGCGGCGATGATGTGGCTGAACTGGCCAATAGTTCGTCTGAACACTCTTCCGAAATGGCTAAAATATAAAATGAAACATAAGAACATGCTAACATCGAGCAAAAAACTAAATAAAAATAAACAAATGTATTTACCTTGACGCAGCCAACGTTTTTTCACAGAACTTCCCATTTGAAGTGGAGGTGTTGGCAACGGTGTTGGGACTGTCATAGCATCAGATGAAGTGCAAATCGGTGATCCACTCCATTTCGAACAATCGTCCTCATCTATGTGTTCACCGGAAGTCAAATGGATGAATTCTTCGATTTTTTGTGCAGCAATACTCAAATTTCTTGGCTCTTCATGTGAATAAATGTTTGTATTTGAATCACTATGCGTGTAATTGTCCACTGAAGTAGATGATGATAAAAGTTGCTGTTCATGACTATGCGATGAAAATGATGTTGAACCGTCACTTTGATGTAACCATTCATTCATAATGGTTTTCTTGGTTTTCGTTTTTGTCGGCAATTTGAAATCATTATCCAATGGACCTACAGCCGCTTCGATCAACAAACATGCTGAACTAACTGCAAATGGTGGTGTACTTGATTGTGTTTTATTGGTCACATTATAACGGTCTGGAGATGTAAGACAATTATTTTTCTCAGATGACTTTGTTAATCCATAATTTGATAATGAAAGAAGCAGCCCAGCTGCCATATTATCACCTTTATCACGATGCTCTTTCGGGGTCCTTGGATGTCGATCCAAATCATGTAAGCGCGTTGGTGACATCATTGGTGTACTTGATTCGTCCGACGTATTGCCATCGTCTGAGTTATGTGAATCGTAACGGTTGCGACGTCGTTTTTGGCCACTCGATTGACTGTATGATTTACCACGTTTTCGCTTACGCTTTCCACTTTGGCTATTCGATTTTTTATCATCCTTACCAAATGACGAACTATTGCGTTTTTTACTCGATGAGCTAGTGCTGGTGGGCGCACTTGAACCCATCTTTTTTTGTTCATTTTTACGCTGTTCAGTCTTCTCCATTTTTTCAAATGCACGTACGATTGCCTCCATTTTGCGTTCTTCACGTGTCAGTTTCTTGCTTTCAACGGTCTTCTTTGAATCTTTATCACCCTTTGAAGCCAGCGTACTCTGCGAATATTCATCGCCAGTGTCTTCTGACATGCTACATGTCGATTTTCTGGTTGGCTTTTTGTGACTTGATTTATTTAATGGCGACTTTATAGTGGACGCTGCCGATATCGGTGTCGTTGGCGGTGATTTCATCGATCGATTTGGTGCCACATCAAATTTGACATCATTTTTAGATGGTGACTGTGGAGTTAACTCAACACTAGCTGTCTCTTTCACTTTTGTTGAATCAGAACTCAATGATTTCCCCGGCGTCGTTGATTGGGATTGTTCCGGTTTTTGGTCAGAGGTCCAAGGCGCATCGATTGAATTGTTATTCTTTCGATTTGCCTTTTCCTGTACTTTCTCACTATTCTGCTCTTTTTGAGCTTTTTCCTGTATTGTTTGTGGTTTTGTCGATGCATTCTCATTAGGTTTGGCTCCATCAAGTTCATCGCCTGACCTCGATGGAGATAGAATTCCAATGCTACTGCTACCCGATAGGATTTGTGATGCTGTAAAAATAAAATATTCATTAATTTAAATACTGCATATCAAACATATAGGTGTGTGTGTGTACTGCTCAGAGCTGTTTTAGGCACGGTGGAAGTGCGAATACTTTTCTTGTAAGTGTCGCTCTTTCTTGAATTCAGATGCGGCACTTCTGCAGTGCCAATATCAACTCTTGTGCTGTGTATGTTTTGTACAACTTTGTACTTACCTTCTGCTTGTTTTCGATTTGCTTTATCAAGTCGACTCCTTTTGTTAAGTGCGAATGTCATTTTGTCCTTAACATGTCCATTCGGTTTTTTCGATGATTTCTTTGATGAAGTTGGTGTTCCGGGCTGTGATGTGGGTTGAACAGCACTGCTGCTACCACCACTACTACTGCTACTCACTCCAAACAGACAGTCTTTGATCAGACCACATCCGCAAATTGTCGATGTGGGTGCATTAATTTCACCACTTTCCAACGATTCCAAATCATGTGGTTCATGCTTAATTGTGATCTCGGTGCTCGATCGAATCGTATTTAAGGATACAATGTATAGATGTGGCGTTCCCTTTTCGATGCTATAAACAATTTCAGCATTTGGTCGACACGATCGTCGTACAAATCGTGCCTCATTACCATAAGTTCGTGTGTCCACACATATTTCTGGTCCATCGTTTGGCAATCGATAGAAAAACAAAAATGGTCCTGGTTGCATTTTCGAAAAGTTTCGCGTTCCATTCGTCGATGTGGGTGAATTGGTTTGCTGTTGTGGTTTGAACTGGGTGCTTAACATATATTTACCACGGATTTCTATCACAGGATTGTTCGGGGCTATTTCACGGGTACTTATTAGAATTTTACCTCCAGCATGTGGCACGGTTGTGCATTTATTATCTAATGAACCAATATTTTTTAACATTGACAAATTCGGCGTGGATGTGGACGAAGACATTTGCTTTGTGATCGAATGCAAACGGGCACGTAGTTCCGGTGAATAGTGATTTGTCATGGCTGCTTCATAATTATCGATCCATTGTCGTAAACTCACCGATTGTTTGTCATTATCAACCGTTGATGAATTTGGTTTCACTGGTGTCGTTGTATTGGATCCGGAACCTGAATGCGATTTTCGTTTTGATAATGATTTTTTCGATTCGCGTCGTTTGCTACCACCTCGACTTGAATCGGTACGTTTTCGCTTACTATTTGCAGCACCAAATAAATCAACTTTTCGACTTTTCGCCGACAGCGTTCCTTTCTTTTTGTTGGCAACAATTGTTGAAAATGCATTTAATTGAGCACGATCGCCAGTATTGGCCTGAGATGTATTCGAATCGACTGACAGTCCAGATGCTTGATTTGATTGTTTCATCATTAGGAAATTTTGTTGCTCTTTACGTTTCATGAGTTGCAAAGTTCTCGCTCGATTTTGATCGATCGCCCTTGGTTCACACAATTCGCATTTGTACTCTTCGGGTATGTCCTGTCGATCAATTCCCATACAATCCACATGTTGCCATACACTACATTCATATGCGGGAAAAAAATAAACAAAAAGAATGTTGCACAAACATAAGAGAGTGTTTCGACCGAAAAAAATATAAATATACTCGATGACGGCACGTCATCAAAATACTTACGAGCATTTATCACAGCATATCATGTAACCGTCATCATGTGTCAATTCACAAATGCAACGTGTTACAGAGTCATCATCATTGCCTGCTTCAGGCGCTGTTTCAGTCTCCTCGCCTGGATCAATGTCAGATCGATTTCGCGATCCATTACTTATTGCTGAGTTCGCATCATCGTCCTTGACATCTGTTTTCAAAACAAATAACAATATTGTAATATTTTACAATTTTAACCGACATATTATGTCAACAATGTTGCATTTCTACTTACTCATCATTTCGTTATACCCAAACGAATAGCCGGGTATATGATTTGTTGTACTTATTTGTTGTTGATATTTACTAGCGACTACATTTGGAGAGGTCGTTTGATTCGGCAAAGAATTGTTATTACCGGTGACAATATTTTCTGTCAACTGATTCGTTGTACTCGGTTTGGTTTTAGATATTGGAGATGTAAGCAAGCTTGTCGCAGATGGCTCTGAAAGATTACTAGACACTGAATTTGTGACAGAAGTACTGCTATTATGTACACTATTGTTATTTGACGTAATCGATGTATTTGTTGCTGTTAATTGCGCTTGTTTTTCAGCCTAAAAATGTGACGGAAATGGGTGTTAGTTGAAGTAAATGTTCAAAGAGATTTTCAAATAACGCAAGATGTAAGACAATAATTACCGGCCACTGCACATAAGTATGATCCTGTAGTAATGCATGTAATGCTCGCATCCTAGAATCCATCGAGGCATCAATTGGTTTGGGTCTCACCTCTTCACCGATAATATCATCTTCCATGTCATTTGAATTTGAGTAACTTTCATCACCTCTAGCCGACACGAGCGGTATATTATCAACAAATGTTGAAGTTGTTGACTGAATATCTGACGTACTGTAAATTAAAGTATAAAATCAATGAGAAAATTGATAAGAGAAAAATTCAACAAATGAGATATATGATACATACTTAACGCGAAAGTATTCAGGTCCACTTTTATTGGCATATTCGGTATACGGTCGAGATGGTTGTGCTGTTTTAAACGGTGCCGGTTGTATCGCACGATGAATTGGTTGTGAACTAGACTGATTGGGACGATGTGATTGAGCCGGTTGTACATTTCGATTAGATGTTATATTTGTAACATTGCTATTGTGTGCACTATCGTTGGTATGGAATACGACTTTTTGTGACAAACTCTGTAGAATACGCGCCGACATTTCCTCACTCATATGGGTTCCATTCACCATAATTACATCGTCCACTGACCCGGGTATCGTCGTTGATTTTGCACTCCCATCCGAAGTACTTTGAAAATCATGAACGCCAATATCAACGCCATTTCGATGACGGCTATTTAATAATATGGAATGAAAAAGAAAATGGTTAATAGAGTTTGTATTTTGATGCATTTTGTATGTGCATAATTATCGCATTCACAATACATACAATTGATTCCATTCGGTATCCTTTTTCGTTGATGGTTGTCCATTATTTTCGGAATTAACATTCATGGGATGATTTATCATAATCGACTTGGTCATCGACGACGGTCTAGTTTCCGTTGGCTGAATCGTTCGATATGTTGTCACCCGTTGGTCGCCCGTTTGTAAATTCTCATTCGATCGATACAGTGTCGTTGACATGCATGGCGTCTGACTAATGTTCGAAATGTTCGAACTCGTTTGTGCCATATATTTACCGGTAGATGCATTCTTGGCTGTTGTCACTTTCTGGCCAATTACATTTGGCTGAACGCACATATTGTTCATAGACATTATTGTGCGTGGTGTCGTGTGTTGCACTATTTTGGTATTTGCATTTATGGTGTTATTATTGTTGTTGTTATTGTTCCTGAAATAAAACAAAACGATTGAAAATTTGTTGATATTGAACTTTGGATGGTGGATCGTTTCATACAAATATGTATAACGTTAAATTACCTGCTATGAGAGGAGATATTGCTGTGAACACCGGTAAATTGTGACTTCTGTTGAAGCGGCTGATGTGATGTCTTCGAATTCTGAACACCATATGAAGCCTTGATTTGATTCTTTTGCTGCAATGTATTCGGATTCGATATCGCATTTATTGTTGTTATCGTTTTAACGGTGCCAGCATTTCCATGTTTTATTGTTGATGTGACACCGCCACCAGAACCACCAATCGTTTGATTTACCAATTTAATGGCTTGTTGATTTGCTTTTGTACTTTTAATATTATTCACATTTAAACTATTCGTTTTAGTAATTGCAATAGTGTTCGGCTTTTGGATTTGAATCACATTCGACATTTGATTTGTTTGATGCTGTGCAATTGGTGTTGTTCGTGTTATTGTTGTTGACTGTCGATACAAAAAAAAATATTTAAAAAAATGAAAAGCCATTATCATACAAATTAAAAAGAAAAGAAAGTTGAATGACATTTGGAAAAATGTGGACAACAATAAACTTACATCAATTTTATTTTGAATTCGACTTGTCGAAACAAGAATATTGCGTGGTATAACTTTTTGTACAATTGCACTGGCATTATTCAAATGCTTAGTTATGATGTGTTGCTGTTGTTGTTGTTGAATTGGTTGAGCCGAAACAATATGTGTTTGTTGATCCATTTGTGTCATTGTTTGCGACTTAAACTGTAAACATTCAAAATTGAAACATTTTAATATTAATTATATATATTAACTCATTGACTAGTCTAAATAGCTATATCGTTTTATTTTACCATTTTGCTCTGTAGCTGAGATTTCGTTGATATATTTACATAATTGCCACTCGAAATGGATGCACGATTGCCGATTGTTGCGTTCGATGGCTGTACATGTTTGCTGTTTACAAAATTAATTGTTTGTGGCTGAGGTTGATCAGCTTTTGATACCAGTGTCACATTACTGATAACATGCACCTTCGAGTTTGGATGTTGACCGATCGTTGATGGTTTGATCATCGGTGCGGTTGAGCTCGGCATTGGTATCAAATAATTAACATTGCCAGCCCGAACGATATTGTCACCGCTCAAATAATCTTCGTTGAGAATCACCTGTTGAGCTCGAATTGGTTGATTTTGATGAACATGTTGTGACGACTGAATCAAATTGCTAGCATCAACAGAGCCACTTTTATCTACAACAACAATACTCGACGATGGCGAAGTCATTTCAACGAATTTATCCCAATGTATATATATATCGCACAATGTTATTTTCACTTTAAATATTCGTTCCTCCTTTCCGGCCCGGTTGATTTATCTGTGGTGCATTTGCCGTTTTTTCAATTTAATAAATATTTTCCAACCTCTTTGCCTCTACACTCAACTATTTATTTACACACACGTCTGACTTTAGACAGTCAAATGTCTCTATATTTAGATTACTTTCACTTTATTTAATCTTTTTTTTTTTCTTGGTTCGCAACTTTATACAACAAATATATGTTAAATTGCAATTTTGATTTTCAACTGATTACTTGAACCAATTTTCTTTTTTCATTATGAAAACCACCTCAATGTTATATTCAGTCAGTACATAAACACTTTGTTTTAGATGATCATTTCAAAATTTCCTTGTAACGGTCAACTTTTTGTTGGTTGTTGTTATCTGATGATAGACTATATCATCTCACTCCTTCAAACTTCTTGGTTAATTTTTTGTTTTTGGTTTTGTTGTATTATTTGCTGTTTGCTTCAACTAAGTATCGCATAAATTTTTATCTATCAATTTAATAGGGAAAAATGTGCCTCCTACATCGCGGAGGTATGTGTGGTCGATTCTCCTGTCATTTTCAGCATTAGCCATGACATAGATGAACATAACGTTTCTGTAGATAGATGTCTAGTCGTTTGCGTTTGATTGTAGTTTATTAGAAAATTTTAAATTTTTGTTGATCCTTTCAATTCTTTGTTTATCCACTTTATTTCACTGATTATTCTTGTCCGATGCAAAGAAAATTCAACAAAAGCCCCTGAAATAACAATGAAAATTTGCAAAATTAATATCAATTATCGATTTTAATACATTTACAATTAAAACTTGTGTGATGAATGGTCGTCATTGTGGTATTGATTGATTGATACATGTTTGTTCGGTTAAATTTTATCTTCGGTGAAAGCATAACCTCTCATTATGAAAAAAGATTTTGATTGGAGCGCATTATTAATTGTTTATTTGGTATCGAGGAAGACCATATAAAAGCTTGAATTGAAATTTGAGATACATAGGGCAGCACAAATTATAGAAACAGTAATAGTATGAAATATCGAAATCCTAACCAAAATGGTTTCAAAAAAGAATTGAATCAAATTTGAGATAAACATTTGTCCCATTATTTAATTTTAAAGATAACAATTGGATTTTCATTTGCATCAGAACATTTGAGTCAAATGTCGTGAATGTCGATCCAGAGAATTATACGTTTTATAAACGTTTTCAGGTCCTAACTATTTCGTATTTTTTATTTGTTTTGTTTTTTATTTTCATTTTATCATAAAAATCGAAATGATTTAAAGAAATTCATATTTATTCGGTATCATTCGATGTGTTTACACCAAATCATTTTAATTTTCCATTCATTTTCCATTTGGTAATTTGATTTTCCTGAGAACAATCCCAAAAGTTTGGATGATAACATAGTAATCATTTTGTATACTGTAATAGAATATAAAACAAATCTATAAATGGCAACAAAGATGGCTCGAGTTTGTTGTTTGTCGTGAATAAATGTAATGCGCATTTATATACAAGTAGGGTTGCCAACTTTGAAAGCTTGAAAACTATTTGACTGTACAGTGCCTGAAGAGGCAAAACAAATATCAATACTGGAATAAGGCACTTGTATTGTGAGTGAGGAGGGAAAAATGGATTTTCCTAATAAAAAGAGCAAGAGCGAGAGAGAGGGAGAAAATTGATTGTACTATAAAATCGAATATTGAACAGGAATTAATGAGTAGGAAATAAAACAACTGAAAATCCAATATTAAATTGAAATGAGACCGATTGCCATATATAAATTGTGGTTGTACGAGTGTACACGGTACAGTTGTATCTAGTAAAAAATGAAAATATATTATGCATGAGCAGTGCCAAAGCAAAGCCAAAATGATGCCGTGAAAGTATGCACCAAAAACTAAAATAGCAAAAGTGAGATGGCAACATTAAATGCAACCAAAACAATCGTGCGATAGAAGAAGACAACGATACATCGCACAATCACACGCGAGAGATTCATACACTGCTCATTGTGGTATTGGTTGTTGTAATGAAAAGAATGTGTGAAGCAAAGATGGCCGCGCATTTCGCTCGAACATATTGAGCAATGTGTTAATATAGAGGGAGCCAAAAGCCATTGTCTATTTTTTTCATATATAATTTGTAGACCAAGTATGTGTGCCTGTGTTTGTGTGTGTGTGTGTGCGCGCACATATTTGTATATTTTGTCACAGCAATGCCAAAAGAGAATTTGCTAAAGGAAATTTCAATTTAGCATTCAAATGGTGCATTGAGCCCATTGAGTCAATAACTTTTTTTTCTTCTCTCGACTAATTTCAATGTTTTAATATTCATTTGATTCGAATATGAAGCCCATAAATTGCGAATGTATATGTGTATTTATAAATACAAATACACAAATCCAAAAGCGAAGCGAGTTCAGTTCATGGGTTTTTTGTTTGTAGTTAAAATGATATGATCGTCTGTATTGGTTTTTATTGTGTCTTTGTGTTTATATTATTATTGACTTTATTTTCCATGCTATTATTACTTACAAATATCAACTAGCATCGTTGCTGTTTAACGACAAAATATTTCTCTCAAAACACTCCAAATCAATGTAGATATGCATTCGAAACCAGAACTCAAATGCGCATACATACAATAAAAAAATATTCTAAATTTTTTTACATGCACACAAACATAGGCACAGAGAAGCCTATCCACACCGATTTCATATCAAATTTATTTATTTTTTTGTCAAATGAACCAAATAAGGAAATTATTAATTTATTATTATTATTAAACTCGAAAAACTCTTTCTTTTTCCTATTTCTTTGTGGTACATTTAGAAGAGTCTGCGTTTGGACAATGGTACATGCATGGTTTGTTGTTATTAAATAAAACTTGTTTATGCTTTAATTTTATTCGTTTAGACGAAATATTTCTCGAAATAAATAAACCTTTTTTAACGCTTTGATTATGTCTTCAGTCGGCATTAGATAACACATAAAAATAACTCTTATTTTACACATATGGATTTTTAAAAAAATATTCAATTGGATATTTTTGCAGTTAAATGTAGCAACATCTCCACACACATACACAAATATATTTACTTTAGAACTCTCGATACACTCTTACATAAAGCAAACACACATCTATAATAATAATCTTCAAAGAAACTTGCAAGCATTTAGGCATTATTTAGTTGTTGTTTTTTTCCTATTCCTATTGCTCATTTGTTCTTTTGTTCACTTCATTCTCACTATGTTTTTTTTTTCTTTTCAACGTATCGCTTGAGTTTACACATAAAATTGTGCATCTCAAAACCTCAGTGAATTTAGAAGACGATGAGGATATGGATAGAAAATGACACTGTGCATAGTTTTTGCAACTATTCTTTGTTCTTTATTTATATCCATTTGATTGGTGGAAAAGATTAGATATCAAGCAAATCGTAAGAAAAAAAAAGCATAAAGACTGGATTTTTTGTTTTGCATTCTATCCTCAAGTAGTTTGCATATAAAAATTGGTTTGGTTTCATTCTGTAATGAAACATAAAATCATAATGGATAAGCCATCATTCATAAAATTGAATGAAACGTTGTATCTTTACGATAAGAAAATTCGATTCAAATAAATGGTTCAACGTTGAATTTAAGCAATGTCTTTCATTATGATACTCTCTATATTCGTTGATACGTTTTTTCTTCTTCTATTCCTTCTACATTTGTTGAAGTGACGATGGAAATTACTATGTGCTTTATTTGACTTTCATCTATTGAGTCTCATAGAGTGAACGCGCGCGCAGAATTATAAAATTGTATTTGGTGTCTAGTTGGTGTGTAACACAACATAAACTAACGCCATTAGATGTAAAATGAAATGAGACCAAAATATCCCTATTCATTTTCATTCAAATAGGCATTTGATTTGAAAGCTATCAATTCTATTATTGTTTGCATTTTGCTAAATACCTGCCACTCAATTTTCTTTATCGAAAATAATTTTCAGGTACAATTTGAATAGAAAAAAAAAAACGATTCAAAGTGAAGAAATTTAGCATGTTTATTTTTTTTCTGGACGCCCACGACATTTTTATCGAAAACTGTTGTCTACGTTGCGAAAATAAATATTTTCTTCTTTCGCACTAGCTTTAGCCAAAGTAGGTGAAAATATTCAATCAAAAACATGGCAGACATGTAAAAAGACATTCTTAAAATTTTGTAAAAAAAATATAAAAACAATCAAAACAATAATATTATTATGATTGGCGTACGCAAGTTAATGAAAAAAAAGAGTAGGGAAGTAGAGTGGGGCAAAATATATGGAATAAATACGAAAACGAATCACATGAAGTAATATTGTGTTTGTGAAAAGTAGCTTTCATATTACATGCTATAATTTTCTGTCTTGCTTTCGGTTTTATAACCGATATTTTATTTATTTATTTTTTCGCATTGTTATGCATTTTCATTTCATGCAAATCGTCATGACAAAGAAACTGACCAAAGAAGCCACTTTTTTTTTGGAAAACTGCGTATCGTTAATTGAATTTCAATCAATGGAAAATATTGATGTTAAACTAGAAGTTTTTTTGAAAATAGAATCGAATAAAATCTTTTACGACTTGTTTTTCTATACATGACAAAAATATGTCTTTCAATATATTGTGCATGTATAAGTTAGTGAGCATAGCGTTGAACACACTATTCTGTTAATAACACACAATCGATGAACGTAACTCAAACGATTTTTTTTTGCGTTGTGTGTGTGTATGCGTGCGACTGACTTCATGAATCAAATTTTTGTTCAAGATATTTGTATATTTATATATATGAAACTGAATATTAAATAAATGCTTAACTCTTTTCGTTTGATTTTCAACAACACTCGAATTTTTTTTTTAAATAAAAAAAAACATTTATTTTCCTTTTCTTGACTACAGACATTCGTTTGTCGCTATTGTTTTACAAAGCATTTTAATTGTATGTACTTTGCATGTGTTTTGCGCGACCAAAAATAAATTTTCCATAAACTAATTCTGAATCCATGAATAGATTGTTTGTGCTTCAAGAACTATTATTCCTTTTCATATCGAATTTTGAATAATTGTAACATACATCATCAATTTCAATGCAAGTCACCACAAATTCTCACCAATCACAGAATAATTTTTATATGTAAACACTCACTTGCAGACTTTTGTTTGATAAAAGTAAATTTAGTTGATTTCCCATTTATTGTTTAGTACGACAAATAATTCCGTTCGTACTTTTTATTCACACACCGAATAAATGCCAAAAATTCAATTCTTCAGACTTATTGTGTCACAGCATTTACACTTTCTCACTATTTTAAAAATACGAATTTTTGTTTCTTCTTCTCGAATCCGTTTTTTTTTCTTCTTTTCTTTTCTTCTTCTTTTGCTCCGCAGCTAATGCTATTGGTGCTTTACATCGAAAATAAATCAAAATAACACTGCACTTTTTAACAAACAATTTGCAAAAAATGGTTGTTCGATGAGGAAAATGCGAACAAATCGTTCACATTGATTTTACACATCAAAATGCAGAACACCTTTTGAATAAATATAGTCTTAATTTGCGTTATAAAAAATATACACATCGGACTTGAAAATATTTCACGTCTTACTTTGCGGCCATTTTAATAAAAACAAGGTTTTTGGTTCTTTGCTCTGTGTGTATGCGTATGATGACATTTATGTAGTGGTAGAAAGCATGTACATATACGCTAGCATCTATTTATGTATTGATCGTTTCCGTTTTACTACCAACTATTTTGCCCCATTTTTATTCTGTTTAGCTCCTATTTTGGCCTCGCTTCATCGACAATTCGCCGCAAACGTTGTTTTTTTTTCTCCTTCTTCGCCGACATTGAATGAAGTTTCGGGCTAGAGAAGTTTGTACTCAAGTTCTGACACACATGTGTACTTTGATGTATGTAGTTTGGTTTAAAGCACATTAATACCAATGCAATGCGTTCCTTATTTCATTTATTTCAGAGACTTACTTACCATGACAAAATGATTTTTGGTTGCCTTTTTTTTAAAGAAAAATAATTACCTTTCAATAAGTTTCCAATACCATTTGATGCCATTTGCATATAAACGATTATTTTGATATGTCATACATGTATTAATCATACATTCAAAGTCAGATATATTTGTATCAATACATGTTGTTTGATGTCAATTTTGGCGGTTTTTTAATAAAGAAATGTGCCATTTTTGATTTAGTACAAATACTCTTCAGTGAATCTTACTTATACGTATTCAAGATTGTGCAATTCAAAGTAAATGAATTCATCCGTTAAAATAGCGACAACCCTTTCAATGGTTTCCCACGTAGACTAAATGTGGCGTGATAGTTCCAGAATCTTTGCAGTAAGATATACCTTTGTCTTTGTAGATTCGACAGCGAAATTCCCCATACTTACCAAAAAACCAAAGATAAAAATTCCATATGAACTTCACAGCGATTTTAAGCAACAAAATTTGTTCTTCCAATGTTCAATGCACCCGGATTGAACAAAAGTTGGTTCATTTGACCAAACTTTTACAAACAAATGAAGTTAATTATGTTCACATAAACTATAAGTTCACTGGGCCATCATCGTTCATTTCAATGCTTAAATAAATAAAATGCAACATTTTTAAATGGCACAACTGAAACATTCACCAGTAATAAATAAAACAAAGCACTATTTTGTGTGATTTTACTTCATCTCCAACGTGATTATATTATGGTTATTTTCCATGTTTGTTGTTTCCATATCAGAGATATAAAAATAACGCAAAACTGAATGTAATCGAGATTAAGAAATTTACTTCTTTTTCGATACACCAACGGTACGTCCACGACGGCCAGTAGTTTTTGTGTGTTGACCACGCACACGGAGACCCCAGTAATGACGCATACCACGGTGGGCACGGATTTTCTTCAAACGTTCCAAATCTTCACGCAATTTCGAGTCCAAATTCGATGATGTCAATTGTTGGTATTTGCCATCAATAACGTCCTTTTGTCTGTTCAAGAACCAGTTTGGAATTTTGTATTGGCGTGGATTCGAGATGATTGTGACAATTTTGTCAACCTATAACATTGAGAACAATAAATTCAATTTACAATAAATTCATTTTGCACGATTTATTTGATTTGATTTATGTTCAACTTACCTCTTCTTCGGTACATTCTCCAGCACGTTTGGTCAAATCAACATCGGCTTTCTTCAACACGATGTTGGCATAACGACGACCAACACCTTTAATAGCTGTCATCGCAATGGTAACTTTACGGTTACCATCGATGTTTGTGTTCATGATACGCAAGATATGCTGGAATTTCTCTGGAATAACCAACGACTGTAAAGAAACAGAACAAATTTATCCAAATTAGTCAAATGCAATAACATACACGTATTTTTTTTTTTTTTTTTTCAAACATAACCAAGTTGTCAATTCACAAATAGTATTCGCACACAAGAGCGCACAATTTTCAATATTTTTGTGAAAAAAACACAATTTTATCACAAAAACACTGCATGATTATTGTTGATCAATGCATTTTTCATTTAAAAATAAATGAATTTAACAATATTTCACTAAGATGATTAGAATAAATTTAGATTTTTCTGACGATTACCATTTTTGCTTGTTTCTGCGGCAACAACCAAATTACAAAAGGAATACCGGATGTATTGGATTTGACAAACTAGATGTCATTGTAGCCAACACAAAAATACTTAAAATGTCACTCGATTCAAATGCTTTCAGCGACACAACACTATTGCACAAAGAAACATTGTTTTGAATTCATTTAACACAAACAATTTTTAAGAAAATAAGTCAATATTATAATTATTGATTTATTTAAATTAATGAAGAAAAAAACACCATTGGTTGTGAATTAATGAAAAGAAAAAAATATTTTTTTTTAATCAATAAATTTTTATATACAGTTAATATGTGAAACACTCCGAAGTTGTCTACAAAAGTGTCTATATTCAAATGATGTTCTATTAACACTGAATTAAAATAATTTAGATGTTTTCTTCAGCAGAATCTTTCAGTTTTTTTCGTTTTTTTGCTTTTTTTTTCTTGTTGACAACACGCAACTGTAAAAATGTTAGGCCGAGCAACAACGATCTACCCAAACATTCACGTTGTAGCGAATTCGATTTGAAATATGTGTCTTTCATGTCTTTGTTTACTTCAAATGCCAAAATGTTTGGCTTAGCCGAATGTACGTCAAGAGTTATGTTCGGATTATGTAAAATATTTTGTGTGACATTAATATTTGAAACGATCTCATGTCCCATCGACATATTATAATATTTTCCAACATTTTTATAGCTCATGAGGTACAAATTTGGGCAATTTTCGTCTTTCTCTTGTAAGAATCCGATTAAAAAAGCCGCTTGTTGGTTCAATTGACAGATATCGGCTATTTGAGTTGGTAGCACCGGTCTATGAAAACGCTGCATGATAATGTGGTCATCCAGGAGATAAATCTCGCTTTTGGGCACTTTATGGATAACATCGTTCATTCTATGGTGTAACGAAAGTATATTTTTTGTATATCTTGTATCCATTTTGAGATAATTCCAATTTTCAATAGTAAAACCCATGTTCCAATCTTTAAAAATTTCACCACCTTTAGCGGAAAATTTAGCACACGCAATGCCAATACTGTCTTGATATATTGACGTAAATGTGTCAAATTTGGTATCTTTATCCATGGCGGGCTTAATCGTTAATCTGCCGGGTTTCGGTTTTTCCATAGAGTTATCCGATTGTGTCGGTGAAAAAGTCTCAAATTCCAAAATTGTTTCGTCACTTGGACCTTCTGCAGCATGATGCATTGCAAAGAAGCTGGCATCGTCAATTAAACTATTTGAATAACTAGTGCTAAGATATTGCTCATGATTCAATGCATCGTCTGATTTTTTCCCATCAATTTGGAGTTGTGATTCACAGAATTTGCGAAGATCATCAGAGATTTCTTTATTAATTCCATCAATTTGTGGAATCTCATCGAAATTTTTAATGGAGCCACCATTTTCAGTCTTCCATTTTTGAATCAAATTAAAATTAGTCTCCGTTAAGACATGCCTTATGGTTTAGAAATAAAAAAGGGCAAAAACATTAAAATGTTCTCAAATCTCAAAAATGTCACAATTTTGTTTATACTTGCATGACTCCCAGCTATTGAATTTATTGAGTACACCTAACAATTTTGCTTCATGATTATCAACCGTTTTGAATGATTTTGCTTCATTTTTATTCGAATTCTGGCAATAAGTTCGAATTAAATGAAACCGATTTGATTTTGTTAATGTTTTCGTTATATTTAAACATTTTATTATCATTATCAAATTTTATTGCAACAAACAATCAAAACATTTGCAGTTAGTTCAATGTTAAAATTGAGACACATGTCATTTGACATTTATTCTGTCATTCAAATTCTTTTGTAAATATATTTTGTGGAGATTTTACATTAAAAACGTTGGAGAATATACTAATTGTTTGGTCATTTTAAAATCGAAAAAGTAGTTGAAATTTCTTTTTTTTTGTCCTTTTTCAATGATCATGACATTAAATCCATTTTAAATATGAGAAACAAGTCTAATGAATATCGAAATGTGTTAAGCTCTTTTATGCGATCTGCCTTTCAATTGGCCAACAATATGTTGTATTTGCGACAGTAAGCAAATCCAACGTATGTTATCTTTTTTGCACTTTGAATTGCAATTAAAGGAAACAATTCAGATGGAGAGAGTGCAAAGATGGCTGTCATTTTCTTATGGCGATTTCTTTTGCAGCGCCAAGGATATGGAAATGATGTCTGAGAATATGAATAAATTTTAATATTGGAAAATATTCATTGGCTGAAAAAAACATAGATTAAGCAAGATTAAGCCGAGAAAAATCCATTATTTTTGGATTCACTATTTTTGTCAACCTGCCAAACGAATGATAAACGATTAACTTTTTTGAATTCGACGAAAAAAAATATATATACATAAAAATAAATACATTTTTTTGTCATTTGTAAATTTATTTTGAATTCGACAAAGAAGCGATATTTATCATTTTAATGTTGATAAGTATTTAGATTATTGCTGCGAATATCTTCACGGCAAAGAGATGAAATGTTTTTTTCGTTCGCTGCTGGCTGCCATTGTTGTTTTCGCCATCTATACCATATAGTATCCGTCAATTTTGTGTCAGTTTGACCGAAGTGTTTGTGTGTATTAGTGTTTTTGCTTTGTATTCATACATCGACATGTAAACTTCCTATGTGGAGGTTTTTGTATGCTTTTGGTAATATTGTTTGTAGAATAAAATTATAAATGTCAAATAATCGCGTAAATTTTGCTTGTAAGACTTGTATTAAAATAAACCAACAATAAAATGTAACAAAAGTATCCAATTCATTTTAGAAATAAATACCAGATAAAATATGCAATTTTTAGAATTTAATATTACGCTAATATTTACGGTAAGTGAAGAAAATATTGTGAATTTAAATAGCCAAAGTTAGATTGCCGATTGCAAAAATGAATGAAACCTAACAAATCATAAATAATACCATTGGATCAAGACATTTACGAAACAAATTTTTATTAAAACCTCAAATAATGTCGGTAGTCATCGTATATGCATCGAAACGACGAATAAGACAGATACAAAAAATAAAATGCTAACGCTTAAAGAATCAACAATATGCAATTAGAACAATTCATTCACAATCAAAATGCATTGCAAATGGAATTGTGGCTCGTGTTTCGCAAATATTCTGTTTATTAACTAAATATTTTCGTTGATATATCGATGTTAATGCAAATATATATTTTGATCAATTTTCAATACGATTCGGAAAATATTTATGAAATTCGACAATATATTCGAAATTGAAGAAAAAAAGTGAACAAAAATTTGGACATAAGGCTCGGAAAAATTGTTATCAATGGTCAGTGACATTCTGCGTTGCATTGTGATGTATTTTTAATTGTCGTTTATTTTTAAATTAATCCGTGCGGTGATGATTCTCACGGTGAAATGCATATAAATTCAATGTGGATCCTATAAATTTGTGAAAATAATGTGCACATTTTGAAATTCGACAATATCCCAGACTTTAATAAATTGTTGTCTCTCGTTTTTATTTTCGTCGCTCTCTCTCTCTATCTTGCTCTCGTGTGAACAACAACAATAGTTAATTAATATTTATAAATTTGATTATACTTTAAATATATTAGGAATATCATCAATCAACAATCAAGAAATCAAAAACTTCAACTACCAGCAAAAGTACCATTACCAATACCAGCAAATTGATGGTTCTTTTTTGGCCAATTAACTGACATAAACAAACAGACAAACAACATATAGCAACATATTCTCTTCACATATACATAATAGCAATAGCAGCCGTCAGCACTAAGTTTACATACGACCAATAGGATTAAATTTTATTTAAATAGTACCGATGGATAGTAATCAACTGAAAAATCAAATAGAACAGGTTGCCAATTTATCGATAAACAGTGATGATGGCAATGACAAAAACAGAACTGGTAAAATTATTGCATGTACATATTGTTCGTTCACATTTCGGACGCGAGCCGACTTACGGTTACATTGCCAGACAGAGGCGCATCAGACGATTATCATGTCCGATGAAGGTAATTTAATCATCAATTTCAATAGTTTCATCCAGATGAAATTAAGTTTTTTTTTTTTTTAAATAAAAACGATGTTCCGTTGTTATTATTGCAGGACGTGACTGGAAGTGCCGAGCACCGCCCAGGGGATACAGCGCTGACACATATACCTTATGTGAAAATTTCATGGACAGTGGATGCTGTCATTATGGAAATCAATGTGTGGAGGCACATGGCAATGAAGAATTGCATGAGTGGCAAGAGCGTTTCGAATATCGTAAAATGCGAATGCAACGGGCTTGTGAAAAAGAACTATTTGGCAAGAGTTTTACGGAACAATTGTTGGAGAAATGGGTATGAAATCTTAATACTGTGTTTATTTTTTCTTTTTCATCCATCAAATTCTGAATAAATGAATAAAATATGTTTGTTCGATTCGGATGATTGTTGCAGATGTCGGCATCGACTCCAGATAGGATAATGAAAGAAAAAATTGACGGCGTTGAAGAGACTGTTTCAAATGACCTAGTAACAACGGTATCATCGAAGGTGTCAAAACGTGAATGGACATTTGTTCTAAAAACAAAACGAATGTTAAAAGCAGTCGCACTCCTGCAAGATGCACATCGTAATCATTTTATGTTGAAACAAGTATTTCCGGCCGAACCTCGACCAGCGAAACGTGGACAATCTTACGGAAATAAAGTAGTTGAAGCAGAACTTTTAAGTGATCAGGAATGGGTGGCGCCGAATATAGATGACAGATATTCGGAAACACCGAATGACCGAAGTCCAGTTTTAGAGCATAGAGTTAAAGTAGTTTTTTCAACGGATATTTATGGAACGTTTCGTCAATCGGCTGTATTTGATTTTGGCACCGAACCAGTTTTAGTGAAGCATTTTTGTGTTGATGTGATACCAATAACCGATGCCGATAAAATTCAAGAAATTAAAAAAGATTTAGTTGTGTCGGCATCACAACGATGGGACGATTCAAATACAACAATTATACCGTACACAATACCCGCGAATTCACATCAACCGCTTAATGTTGCCGTATTACTAGATGAAGAACGTGAAAAAGAGCTACTGCAAAGGTATCCGTGTCCAAGAGCATCAACATTCACACTGACACAGTCCACAATTACTGAGAAAAAATTAACTAAAAATAACTATCGATCGCGAATGCATGAATTGCTTTATGTCGAAGAGATCGCACGTTATGATCAAGTTGCACGATATAATCTAACGACAAATATACAAGTGACGACCACATATTTACTCTCACCGAGTGGTATGGCGACAAGTACCGCCAAATATGCCCATTCGGGCGAACTATTTGCTTTGCTTACGTTGGGAAAAGACGTATCCGAAGATACATCGGCTGGCCGTTTAATTTTAAATAATTGCACAAGTGTTTATATCTCAGACGCTGGAGTTGTTCTGAATGATAATGAAAAACGAAAAGTCTATGAAGCATTGATTGAAGATAAATCAAAATCAATGATTTATTTGAAATTGTCGGCAGAATGTGTTAGCGATTTGAATTTAACCGCAAATACCGACTTTTTTGCAGACATTCAATTTCAATTAAATCGTTTGACCTATTGTGAATGGCATCATGCCATTGATAAAATTGTTGACTATCGCATGATATTTCCGGAAACATTTTTGGAACCAAGCATACCCTGGACACCGAAGAAACAATGGTCCGAAAATTTAGATCCAAAATTAAATTCAAAACAAAAAGAAGCTGTGCTAGCTATAACTGCCATTTCAAATATCGGATTGCCGCCGATACTGTTGATTGGCCCATTTGGCACCGGGAAAACATTTACATTGGCCAGTTCAATAAATCAACTACTTCTCCAGCCCGATACGCGAATTTTAATTTGTACGCATTCAAATTCAGCGGCCGATTTATACATTAAAGACTATCTACATCCGTGGGTGGAGGAAGGAAATACATCTGCAACACCGTTACGAGTTTATTATCATAAACGTTGGGTTGCCACAGTAAACAGTACTGTATTGAAGGTTTGTACACTTTTTTCTTGTTGTTGTTTAATTCAGTATCGATATCATTTTTTTTTTCAATCTCTCTTCATCTATCACTTACAGTATTGTCTAGTTGATCTCAATGGTTCGGGAAGGGTGTTTCGTCGACCAACAAAGGAAGATATATTAAAGTATCGAATCGTTGTAGTGACATTAAATATTTCAATGGAATTGGCAGCATTAGATTTGCCAAAAGGCTATTTTACACATATTTTACTGGACGAAGCCGCACAAGCCATGGAATGTGAAGCAATCATGCCATTGGCATTGGCTGATGTCAATACGCGCATCGTATTAGCAGGTGATCACATGCAAATGAGCCCGGAACTATTTTCGAATTTCGCAAAAGAGCGTCGTCTTCATGTTTCATTGCTGGAGCGACTTTATTCTCACTATCCCTGTGATTTCCCCTGTAAAATTTTATTATGTGAAAACTATCGAGCGCATGAGGCAATTATAAAATTCACATCTGAATTGTTTTATGATCAAAAACTAATTGCGTCTGGAAAGCAACCGAGACATGAGAAATTCTTTCCGCTGACATTTTTCACAACACGAGGTGAAGATGTACAGGATAAGAATTCGACCGCATTCTATAACAATTCAGAAGTATACGAAGTCGTTGAAAGAGTTCAGGATCTACGAAAACAATGGCCACCATCGTGGGGAAAAATTTCCGATCAATCAATTGGAATAATGACACCGTACGCTGATCAAGTATTTCGAATTCGTTCCGAATTACGTAAACGGAAAATGGGTGGCATATCGGTTGAACGTGTTTTGAACGTTCAAGGCAAACAATTTCGGGCAATTTTTCTATCGACTGTGAGAACACGTCGAACACTGCCCAATTCAGGCAATTTAAATTCAAGCAGTCAAACTGAAGACATGGACTATGGATTTTTAAGTAATTCAAAATTATTGAATACAGCCATTACACGGGCACAAAGTTTGGTCGCTGTTGTTGGTGATCCGGTTGCCCTTTGTTCGGTTGGACGTTGTAGAAAAGTATGGGAACGATTCATTGAAATTTGTAACCAAAATAAAAGTCTGTTTGGAATAACATGGTCATTGTTGCGATCTCAATTGGATGGCGTTGAATTGAAGAAAACATTTGTTTTGAATCCACTGGCACCAGAATTTATTCCACGAGCACTGCAAGCTGAAACCTATTTACGTGAACAACAAATGCACGCACAACAGCAACAAATCTACCCACCACATGTTTTACCTCACAGCATGTCACATATAGGCTATTCCACACAGACCATGATGAATCCACAGTCTCGAATGGAAGCCGACTCGTCGATGCAACACAATTTCAAACATCGATTTGGTGCTATGCAAACACAGCCTTCGGTGCCACCTAAAGTGACTAACAAACATCCATCATTCTTTTATCAAAATCAACACCATCAAATGATACGGAATCAAGCGATTCCACAGCCTGGTCTCAGTTATACAGCTAATAATCAATCGAACTTTTGGACGCATCCATTTAATACTAACCAAAATATGTGGCCGAAACCAAATCATGCGATTCGTGGAGAAAATACAGTAAGATTTTAAATTTTAAATTCATTTTCATCAGTTTTGGTCATTTGTAATTCGAATTTACTACATAAACTCAATCACATTTTTAGAATTTTTCACGTGCTTCGCAGCAACCGCCGCAGCAACAACCGCAGCCGCCTCCGCCACCGCAACCAACTCCACAACAGCAACAACAATTGAATTTGAATATGCCGATAATTCCAAGGCAACAGGCCACGTAAGCATAACACTCCATCTTGAGATATCTCTTCAAATTAATAATTTTTTAATTAATGGTTTTAAAACAATATTTTTACAGAAGTGGATCACAACATTTGCACCACAATTCAATTCCGTATATGCAAAACAATAAGCAACAATCTCCTGGTTTGTATGGCGCAAATGTTCCAAATCACTTACGAAATATAAACTCAATGACAAATCCGTCGCAATTGGCCACACAAAACACTCAACCACACGGCCAACCACAAGAAGTGAGTGTGTCTCCACTGACTAGTGATATTATGGCATCTATAACTCAACGTGCTAACCAATTACATCAACAAAATTTATATAAAACAAATCCCGTGCAACCAATTCATCCACAACAACAGGTCTGTTCAGATCATTCTCTATTTTGAATTGCTTATCTAACTTTTTTTTCTATGCATATTCTTCAAGATCCCCGCAAATCCCAACAAATTTCCCTTTTTCATGGACAACAAAAATCACCACACAATGGAGTAAGTTCAATTAAGCCAGTCTAATAAAAAAATAGCAAACATTAAAAGTTAATTTTTCCATCTTAGTCCGCAGCAAATATTGCAACACTTTCAGCCCATGTCAAATATGAATCAACATCATTTGGCTACCCCAAAATCACAGCACGTTACACTATTGAATCAGAATCAGCAAAAAATGCTTCCTATACATCAACAGCAGCCCCAGACACCAAACATTCCAGGTATGGATATTTTTTGTTCTCATTTAAATGCCCAAATCAATTGTCTACAATTTCCCTTTCATTTGCTTTGTGAATTTGATGTAGACTTTTCAAATCTATTGCCACCCAATATGAGTTTCTACGATATGGCCGCCGAATCAAAGGATAATCAATTTAAATGGTTTGTAAAGCTAAGTGAAACACAAGGACTGGAAGCGGCAAACAAATATGCTGAAATATTGAGTCAAATACCGCCACCCATAGACGCAGTTATGTCTAAGCCACCAATGGCATTGAATACACCATCAATTCAAAATATAGATCTCATTTTTGAGAATCTTGTTAGTCCAACGCCAAATTTGGGAAATTTGCTTGGAAAAAAGGAGCATATAGCGAATGATACAACATCATTTTTGGGCGGTAGCATGTCATCGATTTCAAATCGAAACGGTGGCGAACATTCGACAATCCCAAGCCTAAACGAGCTGATAACTGCGCGTCAAAGTGATCTGGGATTACAGGCGAAAAATTCGTTGCATCAACAGCAACCACAACAGCCACCACCACCACCGCCACAACAGCAACAACAACAACAACAACAGCAACAGCAGCAACAACAACAGCAACAACAGCAACAATCTATTCCATTGTACCAACGCCAGGCAGGTAGCAGTTTCAACGTGCAGTCCAACAGCATCCCAATGCCAATGATGACACATGCAAATGAAATTAACGAGCATAGCCTTTTCGAAAATTTATTTAACCACAATGGAAGCCTTAATCAGAGTCACATTTCAAATGATTTACATGGAAATGCGCAACACTTCCAAGGCCTACCACCAATTCAAAATTTTGTGGCTCCCGTAAAAACGCTATCGAATTCAGTAAACATGACGCAAAAGTAAGTGCAATTCCATCTCTTTTTCGATTCCATTAAATAATTTTATTAACAATTGACACTTCTTTTAAACACAGTATGCATACAAATTCGAATCAAAATGTCATTACATTGAATCATCTATCACATTCGCAAAATGCGAATGATCAATGCAAACGCAATGATGATGTGCACACCATTCGACCGGCCAATTCAACAACAACTTATGCTAGCGTTTTAACGCAAGGTGCATCAAATCCACAATTAAATCAAAATCATTCACACAACAAGCAACCGCAACAACAACAACAGCAACAACAGAAAAATGAAGAAAAAGATCCGTTCGCCGCAATTCGTGAACTTGGTCAGCGCTCTAATGGTTTATATAATTATTTTCAGTAAAAAAAAAACAAATGAAATCTTTTTCACCGTAACCTTTATTAATCACACTATTAAAATATTTAAAGAAAATATTGTATTACAACAATATTCATAATGTTTAGTTGAAGATTAAAAAAAAAACACAAAAAACCCAAAAAAAATGTAAAACAAAATCGAAAAAATGAAAAAAAGTTATCAAACAAAACTTAAAAATGTATATTTTAGCTTAAGATAAGAACACACATAGACCTAGTTGTAGAAACTCAAACAAAAAAAATGAAAAAAAAAAAAGAAACTGAGAAAAATCATCCATCTGATTTCCCCTGCTAACGATTATAAAAAGAAAATCAATTCGTATGAAAACTAAAATTAATTTTATACATGTCTTGCTGAAATGTTCGAACATATTGCTGAAAGTTTGTTGCAGCATGATCTTGTAAGATCGAATAATGTTCATTAGATTTTTCGTATATTTGTTTTGATGTCTTAAACAAATGGAAAAGTTGGAGTAAATTTGTAAAAAATAATTGAATACATTTCAAGAGAAAATAAAAGAGATAAGAGATAAATAAATAACTATTGATTAATCTTGAGTAAAACAAACGAACTTACATTGGCGAAAATATGACCATTGTGCGTTTGTTGTTTTGCAAAAAAAAAATGAAAAAAAAACGGAAAAAATGTGAACATTGATTTTAAATCAGCAAGTTTTAAAAGTATATAAAATGCGAATAAAGCATATTTTCTTCGAAAAACAGCAAAAAAAAAATTTAAAAAAAGTATAAAAAATCTAAAAAATGAATAATTGCATATAAAAACTTTTCTGTCACAAAATAAAAAATACATTTTATTAAAGAAAAAACCTAACAAAATGTGTTTTAACACCGCCCCATTTACCAGCAAAGACAGCAAAGTAAGTTTGAAAAGAAAGCTATTTTCAAAAATAATCTCAATGTTGACAAAAAGTTTTGAAGTTTCCACAGTAAGTAAGACCAGTAAGTATCTAAATTTTCACATTCAAAGAAGTGTAATCATTAAACACCGGCAAGACGGAAAATGTTTTTGGGCATAGGTGTTTGGGAAGAAAGAGGGAAATAAGATATGAGGCATCAAATTTTTCTATTCACAAATTGGACGAAATTTCAAGTATCCCTTACAAATGTTTCTTTGTCCGAGACGGGGTTTACACTAGACGGAATGGACTTTCAGAAAAAATCTTTCGATTTGCTTGGGATTCTTCTACAAAAACCCTTCACGTTATCAATTTTGATCCAAGCTATGAATCATAGCCTATGATAATCTCTTCAAAGTTTTTAACCCCTTTGCAAAATTCACGAAATCTATCCATGGTTTGGCTCACATTTACCTAACAGAAGAGACATGCCGATCCTTGGTTCTTTGATCACAACTTTCTTGTCTTTGATGCGTAAAGAACTAAACGATGTAGCAAAAGGTGCTATGAAGAAAAAACGGATACATTTTTGGCGTTTGACATTTCTTTTTATTTTTTTATTAAATGCTTAATTTCCGATTCATTTTCTTTTGTCAAGACAATAACAATATCAAATGTTCAATTAATAAAATAAATATATTCAAATGATATTGATTACATTTGTGCTAACATTTTTTTTTTCGTATAACTTATTATCGAAAGATTTGTTTAAAATATAGAAAAAATTATTCTTTACATTTACATTGATTCGAATAAAATAGATCTTGAAGTTTTGGGCAGAGATTCCATGGAAGTTTAGATAAAGTTGTGGTTAAACTAAACAAAGTGCGGCAGACACACTTTCCCTGCAAATAATTCCGATATCACAGTAATCCAAAGGGCGAGCACAAACATGATGTAACTGAAACCAACTTGATGTGAGTTTGGTAATTGATATGGCTGTCCACCGATTTCATCAATATGAAATCCAAGTGGAAATATCACCGCAGCTAAACAAAAAAGCACCACTAAAACGAACGAATAACCGACCATCAATAAAAAGTAATTAGTTTTGATTGAATGAAAATGTGATATGTGTGTGTGGTGGTGGTGGTGGCACTTACTTGCTGTAAAACCAACCCAACGTGCATAAGGAATTACATCACGATCCCAATTACTTGAAGCCAGCAAAATGATGGCAGTTGTGATGCAAATGCATCCAACAAAAATACATATCAGTGCCAACAACCATTCTGGTTGTAATTCAGGTGTGAAACATACTTGGGGCCTATTGTACAATGTCATACACGTCCACATCAAACCTAATCGAGTTTCACCTAAAAAAAATCACCCAAATTATGTACAATTCCATGGTGACCCAAAACATAGAGTATGCACTGAAATGCAATTTATTTACCACCAACATCTGTAACGATCCAGTCCGGTGTTGCCAAACTGATGATCGCAAATACATCAGCTGCCATAAACAATGATGCACTAATTGTGGTTAATTTATCCATTATATCTACTCGTTGATTTTGATAAATCTTATATTATTGTATATTTCAACTAGCCTACAGTCATTCACTCATTTTTCTGATTTTCTTCAATGGAATAATACTTTGATTTGGTATTTATTCGTCTTTTTCACTTTTTTTATGTTTTGATTTATTTTGTTTGTTGAAATTTCAATGATAATAACAAGTATATTACTTGGTTTTTTTTTCTTGAACTGTCAACATTGCTCGATGTGTCAAAGTTGGTCATTTTGTTGCCACTTTAATTCGATAAAACAGATTGAGTGCTTCCTTTGTTTTTATTTCGAATTCGCCACATAATTTCCATGTTATTACGTCTCTTTGCACATATGAAGTGGCGCCACTTGCACCCTCTACAAAGTACTCGAAGTCCATCAAATCGTTGAAAATGAAAGATGCAAGAAAACAAATTTTATCAAAGAATACGGTAAAAAAAAAGCCATAATAAATTTCAAAAATGAAGATAATTTTATTTAATAAATTACTTTACAATAACTTACAAATGTTAAGACGAAAAGTAAAAAAAAAATAGTGATATCTATTAGTTTGAAAGGAATAGTGCGGGAAAAATTCTCTAAAAAAAAATAAAATTGAAAATAAATTAAAGATACATATGATTAGTTTATTTTAAATCGAAGATTCGAAGTAATTTTTCTATGCAGTAACAAAAATCTATTTCAAATACCGCGCCAACTTTCGTTGGATAATGATGCATTTGGCAATGCTGTCTGTACAAGTGTTGCTTTTTTTTTTAACATGCTGTAAGTTTGCAACGGACATCTCTCACAGTGAACGTCAGTTGTGGACTGCAGCTTCATTGAAAACAACAACAGCAAAAATACGCCATCAAGAACATTGAGTCACATTCGAACGAGCACATAACGAATGAGGTAGATAAAAACAATGAAAGAAAGAGCGAGAGACGACAATTTATGTGACAGCAAGTGCAAATAAATGTCTGTGATCGTTCATCTGCTTCATATTCTCTTTCGTTTTCTATCTTAGTTTCTGTTTTGAGTTTTTGCGTTACGGTCTTTATATTTTTTCTCTCGTTTTTTCGCGGTTTTGGTTTTTGTGAGTTTTGATTTCTCTAACTATCTATGTGAGTGTGCATCTACAATGGTATTGCCATTATGTCGCAAATAAAATTTGAACACCAAACAACTATACAAGATACACATCAAACGATAAATGACATTTTCACTGTACAATAGCATTTGTTCATTCTCTTTGAAAACTATGTAAATTAACTCATAGATTGAAGCATTTGTAAAAAAAATTCATTCAACTATTTGTAAAATTGACCACAATTAACAGTTTGTGTTGAACTGTGTCCGAAATTATTTGCCAAATTATATGTAGTCGTTCTGCTATCGAGAACATGTAAAACACCTGTATTATAAAAAAAACGAACAACGCAATGTTTCAGCAATAAATTCATTTCGATGAAAAATCAATCGTTTATTCTTACATCATTTATAAGTGAATACAAGTGAATTGAATTAAAAGCAACGAAAATGAAAATAAGAAAAACGAAATTTCAGTCATTACTTTTCAGTGTTTTTGGTGAGTAAAATTTGGCATTAGTTTAGGGAAAAAACCTCTGAATAATATGTTATCTTCAATTGATAAATCAATCGATTGTCCGTATGAAATAAAAAAAATGATAAAAAAGAAATTCGGTGCGAAAAAAAAAGTGGTGACCAATGTGTGATTTCTTCGACGTTGCATTCAATTTATGAACCCAAGAATAAATGTTTTTTTTTTCTGTTAAAGCATTATGCCATCACATAAAGACGATGTTCAATTAATAATAAAAATGTTTGCTACGATTGAATATCAATCATACGATATAGTCTTCGTGCGGTAAATCCAATAAATTGAAACATTCTACAAATATGTTGCAAATGCTACATGACAACAAAAGAGCATCACCAAGTTTTTCTACAATATAAACGAAAACGAGTTATGAATGTTCAAAAACAAAAGAAGAAACAAAACAAAATCTCCACACACCTGTGGTATATAAAAACGACTTCATTAAAATGCAGCTTTCGTACGTATGCTGTACGTAGCATGTGTGTAAACGAAAATAATAACTCAACAATGTGTGAACCTGAACTTAAAAAAAAACAGTTGCGTCAATGCATTGGTGTGCAGTTATCAAATACGAGAGAAAACTCTCTTCTCAATTGCACGAATATCAATCGAATTCGTTGCACTTAATGAAGATGAATTCACATAAACAGAAAATATATGCCATCTGCTTGCAATTTAAATTTTAAAACGTACACAAACAATACACAATGCCAACCAAATTAAACGAACTTTTATTGCGATTATAAAAAAATGGCTGGAGATAATGTGACCACCGATATAGATGTAGCAGACCTTTTTATTTTTATCTATGACATGTAATTGAAATTTATCACTTGGTGCTGATACCGAAATGTATACGGAAAATAGCACAAAAATAAAATCGAGAAGTTCAATGATAAATTCAGAAGATAAATATTTGTTACAACGGTCAAGTTTTTTGTTTTCAATCAATTTTGGGCATGATTTTCTTTTTGCAGAGTTCTACAAAACGAGAAATGCACACACCCACTTTTACAATTATGCCATGAGATAAAAGAGAAAGTGCACTTGAGCATGTCAAAAAAGAGTTAATATGATACACCTTTCATTAGATTGAACTGCATTTAGTTTTTTTTTTTCTTCATATGCACAATAAAGCTTTGCAATCAATTGTTTTCTTTCGATCGTTTTCATAAATATGCAATGATTGTTTGTTGCAAAAACAAAATTATATTTCATCGAAGCGCAAGAAAAAACAAACCGATTTGTTCGCATTTGTAGCAACAATTACATGATGTTTAAGACATTTTCTCAGTTAGAACAAGTGCTATTTTGTTGAATATCGTGGTTAATTCTAATGAAATTAATAAAGTCAAGGTTATATTGAAGCGCAAGCTCAATTTAACTTGTATCGCATTTTGCGTTCATTTTTTTGTTTTTGTTTTTTTTTTTCATTTGTGTTTATTGCATATTTTTCATGTTATTTCTTTTTTTTTTCTCTTTTTTCCTTCATACACAATAGGCTAATTAAAGTGTGGTGGAAAAAGCGGCGATTGAGTTGAACGTGATTAATAACGATAATAAGTGTAAAAACTCACTATATATAGTGGAGAGGTAGAGATAGTTGTGCGACCAAACGAAACGAAGAAAAGTGTTACAATGGATGCAGATGAGAGTGAATGGCTTGTTGAATTATTACGGGACGTACAACTGGAACAATTTTACCCGAGAATTCATGATGAGTTGCAGGTCACTCGTTTAGCACACTTTGATTATGTACAATCAGATGACTTGGAAAAAATTGGGCTTGGAAAGCCAGCGATACGGCGATTAATGGAAGCGGTTAAAAAACGAAAAGCACAACAATGGCGACGAAATATTTTGTCAAAATTAATCGGCGGCGGAAAACAGCAACCGATGAAAAAGTCAAACATTACTGATTCAAGTGGACAATCCACATCGTCGACATTGTCATCATCATCGTCGTCACATCTGTCATGTCTCATACACGAGAAAGATCTAACGCTGGGCATTAAATTGGGTGACGGTTCATTTGGGGTTGTGAGACGTGGTGAATGGACAAATGTTGGTGGGCAAATACAATCAGTTGCTGTGAAAGTATTAAAAGCGGACAATCTCTCTCAGCCCGGTATTATTGAAGATTTTTTCCGTGAAGTCCAAGCTATGCATGCACTCGATCATCCAAATTTGGTGCGATTATTTGGCGTTGTATTAACACAACCTATGATGATGGTTACGGAGCTGGCGGAACGAGGCTCTTTACTTGATACACTTCGAAAACAATGCAAACACACACCGATATCGGTGCTATGGCAATGGGCATGTGAAATTGCAACTGGCATGGCATATCTTGAACAGAAACGATTTTTGCATCGCGATCTTGCATGTCGTAATGTTCTATTAACATCAATGAATAAAGTGAAGATTGGCGATTTTGGTTTGATGCGCGCTTTGCCACAACAAGATGACTGCTATGTCATGACTGAACATAAAAAAGTCCCATTTCCATGGTGTGCTCCAGAATCACTTCGCCATCGAAAATTTAGTCATGCCTCGGATTCATGGATGTTTGCTGTAACATTATGGGAAATGTATACGTTTGGCGAAGATCCAGTGAGTTGATTTTATTCTTTAATCATTTCATATTTAACGCATCTCTATTATTAATATGCATTTTTGCATACTACAGTGGGTTGGCTTAAACGGTTCCCAAATATTGAGAAAAATCGATCGTGAAGGTGAACGATTGCATCATCCCGACTCCTGCCCGCCGGATGTCTATCAATTGATGTTACAATGTTGGGATAAAAATGACAGCGAACGACCAACATTCGCCGCAATTAAGTGAGTAACGATTAAATAATTCACATCAACATTCAATATTTACAATAACAAAATGTAATTGTCCAATTTCAGAGAATTTATGCATTGCATTCCACCGCCAATGGTTCGAGCTAAGTCAGCATGTATGGAAGAAGGACGTCTCTCCATTGATCATGGTGATATTTTGGCTTTAATCGATGAAAGACCCGATTTGAGATTTATCAAAGGTCAAAACCAAAGAACATTCGATATTGGAACATTTCCCAGGTAAAATTGGACGACCACAAACAATTTATCGATTTCAATCGAATATATTATTGTTTCCCAACAGAAATATCGTTGAACCGTTGAAGGGAAAATTTCCGGACATCAGTCGACCATTGAACGATTCATTTCGTCACACTGGGCACGGATCTGTGCTGGGAAATTCGTGGGGAAATCCATCATTTCTCGATCCAAACTATTTAGGCGATGATAAAAATGCGCAAAGCGTTCGTCTTCGAGGTATATAGTGGATTTTTTTTATATGTTGTGGTGCGTAACTTAATTCTTGTTTTCGCAATTTCAGCATCGAGTTCGGCAAAAGATCGCAAACATAAATGTGCTTCCGAGCAACATGTTCGAGAGCGAAAGAGTATTGCACAAAAGCAATTTGCATATAATAAACTTAAAAATGAAAAACCCGTTACATCAAAGCATGATAACCGTAAAACATTGTCAGCACCACAACGGCCACCACAGCCAAAATTGATTAACTTTGAAAAGAAGGAAAAGGAAGGAATGCTAATCGATTTGACATCACCACAGCAACAAGACATCAGCATTCCGAATTTGATGTCAAATGGTGGTAGCTTTGCGCAAACCATGAATGACATTAGCATCCTTGATGCTCCAATCGATGTGCCAACTGAAGCATATCCAGATGATGACGCAAATGCAGTGAGATTATTTGATGTGGATAGTAATAAGCCCGAACCACCGCCGTATCAATCGCCACCCACGTACATGAATACATTTGGATTGAACAAAACCATCTCAAATGATCCGTTCGATACATCACATATTACAACGCAATCACAATCGAAAATTGGAATGCCACAATCCAATGCAATGTCATCGCATTCATACACAATCGATGATAGCACCAGCAACTTTATTCGGAATCAAATTCAAACTACAAGCAACAAAGAATTGATTTATATGAATCGACCATCAAAATCGAATAAAACAACTGAAATCGATGAAATCGTTCAAAACAAACTGATGTCCATGTCACACGGAAGTCCGAAAAGTGGTCACACATCGAGAGTTTCGAGCGCTTCTGCTGCTGCTGCTGCCACCACAACTGCACTTAGCAAAGATGCAGTGAAGGAAATGAATCAGTGTTTGGACAGTACATCTACAAAAATTGCGGACAATTCTATGTTGAGTGATTCATTGAGAGTAAATCTAAGCTCATTGACATTAAATGACACCGATGACTTTGAAAACCAAGTCCAGCCATCAACGTCGACGGCTGAAAATCCAAAATTGGATCGAGCATTTTTAGCGGAATTGGAAAAAGAGATTTATAAAAATGACAATGCCACCACAAATGTAAATGTAAACGTAAATAATGCACAATCGAATGAATTTTCGTCGATAAATGCAAAAGACAATACGGTTAACGCAATTTCAAATTCATTAAGTTGGCTAAAAAATGAATTTTCGGCAAATAATGATTTAACCGCACAATTTTATCAACAAAAAAGCACAGCCATAATGCAAAGTCCAGCCACAACGAACAAATATAACAAAGAGCTAACTATCAAAATGACAAATTCCGACGCACTCTTGTCAAATACGACATTGAGCAAAAAACTGTATAATATAGAAGTAAATAGTGCGGATCAAAATACAATGCACGCACCAACAACAAGTCAAATGGATGTGAACAATGTGACCGGTTCCACAATGAATAGTGGCAATCAAGCGATTTACAGTAATTATGCCATGGCTGGTATGCATTGCAATAATAGTGCATCGATCGAGCCGCATGATCAAAAGTACACATCGGCAAACTATGGCAATACAAACATGGGTGGCAATACAAACATGAATAATATTTACTCAGTTTCCAGCGATATATACGGAAGTGTTGCTGGTCCAAATGTATACGATGTTGTGGCATCAAGTAATTCAGATTATTATCAAATGATTCAAAAAAACGACCTTCAAACTGTGATATACGATGAAGTGGCAGCAGATGATATTCGACCACATAGGCCTGCACCGGCAGCACCACCACAAATTCTATCGTCGCAGCAAATTCAACGGAGACTTGAACGCGCCCAAAAAGAACGAACACAATTATACGATAATATTGAAGTGAATTATGTGAACAATGGCTTTTCCAATGCTGCCGGAAATCATTCCATATACGAAGAGATAAACCAAAAATCAAATATTACTCCAATCGACGTAGATCACGTATCCAAAGACACAGTGAACACGTTAAACAGCGGAACAATAAAAAACATGAAAATCGAACAACTGTTACGGTAAGAATTTACTTTTACAAATTACAAATAAGCTATATATATATATGTTAAATAAACTTAGTGGTTATCTAACTTGATATAAGTTCACCATATGAAATGGAGAGCGGATTGAATGATTTCCATCGATTGAAAATAGTGAAATAATATTACCATCAATATTTTTTATTTAATTAGAGTTAAAAAAAAACCTTAACTTTGCTTCAAACATCCATCCCTTATCTCTCATTAATAGCGCAAAAGGTCACAAAGCAATGTATACTCCCCTTTTAAATTCACAATGCCTACATATGTATATACTTCATTCGACTTTAAATGAAGCACATTTCATACTTTCATACTGTATCTCACCCATAAGTGTGTATAATACATAGATTTATGGTAGTACATATGAATTATTATTAGTGGGTGTGCAGGGTCATTAACATTATCAATCTTTTTTATGTACTTCCACGTGCGTTCACCAAAAAAATCATTTTTAAAATATTGCGTTACAATGGTATTTCGCTTACAAATGAAAGTGTTCAAGTCGAACATAAACTTATGCTAAATTTTTGTTTTCTTTATTTCACAGCCTGGGTTTGGCGCCACGTTTTAAGTGTGAAGAAGCGTTAATAAAAACTGGTTGGTCTATTGAATTAGCTGCATCATCTCTGCTGGAAAATACTTAAAAAAACATACTTGGATGAGCTTGCAGTCAAAAACAAAACAAACAAAAAAATCATCCACATTTATAACAAAAGAAAATTCCTACTAAAGCCAATTAAAAAGCGGCTTTTTAATTAGTCAATTAAAGTCAGAAGAGGATTTCCTCCGTTCACAGAGGATACAGAACGAATAAAAAGTATTGAATATTAACAAATTACAGATATTTTACGGTTAACAATGTAAATTCTATGAAAGTTCGTTAATATTATTATTGGTGATTAAATAATTTGAAGAAGAAGAAGAAAAAACCAAGAAAACACATGTAAAGATACATAAATACAGGAATTCAAATTGATCATATGGATATGTTCCACAAACCAATTTACAGAATATAATTATTTTTTAGAAAAAAAGTGATTCATATCTATTGCGTCAATTCGATCACTGAATGTGTAAACATATGAGAATGAAAATGAAAGCAAATAAATTTATTTTGGAACAATATAATCTTTACTGATTTTCTTTTCAATCGTTCGGATCGATCAAGAATTAAGTGGTCATCCCCTGTTTTTTTTTTTTTCAACATTTTATTTTCGAGCATGAAATACAAGAAATACAGGTAAAAAAATAATTAATAAACAATTAACAACCAGTTGGATAATAAAAGTACGAGGTGGCCCACCCTGATGGATCTTTAATTTAATAACTATTTTCATTGTCGAATAGAAAATACAAGAGTAAAAGTATGAAAGAAAGAGAGCGTATCGTTTAAACCAGAATTTTTTTTACCTTGATTTGAAAATTCAATGCGACATCAATTTGAAGAAATGCGCTTTATGCTTTTCATTGACGAAAAAATATTACTTTCATGCGTCTACTATGTGCATATTTCGTTATTGAAGCCAGCAAATAAATCCATTGAAAAGCGGAACAAAAACCAGTTAGAAGCTACTTTCCTACAATAATAATCGCTTTTAAGTGAATTGGAAACGTGTCCATAATTTTCGACATAACCAGTTCCGCAGTTATTTCCTTGCATCGGAATCATGCGCTTACTAATCAAATGTTTAACGTTCATTTGTAATTGTATATCTGCGCAAAATGTTGTCTTGCCCAGTCGCACTAATTCTTAAAACATGCACTATTAGCAAATATCTATTAAACACGAAAAAAAAAACATTGCGATATAATAATAACGCATACATTTCATTTTCGTATAGAAAATAAAAGAAAAATTGTACCGCTTCAAAAGACAAACTTTTTGATATCTGAACCATATAGCACCATTTCCCAGAATATTTCAATATTCAAAGCAAAATAAACATTTATCACATAGCATATGATAGATTTCACATTTTTTTACCAAATAAGAAATTATACTATTATTAAAATCTTCCGATAAATTTCGAAAAAGCAACTTACCGCTTAAGTTAAGTAGAATAGTAGGTTGTTACAGGGAAAAATATAGACATTTCAATCTTTTTTTCCGTATACCAAGTACGAAAGAACTATACAATTTTTTGGGATGTTTTAGCTAGTGAAACGCTTGACTAAAGTACTTGTTTCATATGAACGATTTTAAAATTCCATTACCTTGTCGCTACCTGCCATCTAATTGGTTTCTTGAGTAATAGCAAAAAAGTGCCAAAACTATGATTCAATTTAAAAACAATGCAGCTTTCAGGAAAAACCATTTGCCATTGGGCCCATCATTGCAATGTACTGCTATTGCATTTGTTGAAGTATACATTTCATATTTATTTTATTGGATTCATACATTTTTATAAGTAAATACGAATTTTTTACTTTTTGAACGTACTGAAAACGGCGATATGTGATCATTTTTGTCATATCGAAACTTCTTCATTAATTCAAATCACATAAAGCAGCAAATTCTTTGTATCACTCTCTGAAAGGAAATCTTTTGACTTACAGTACGCATCATTGCAATTATGGGACATAATAAAGAAATCAAACAACTTGAAATCTCCAAAGGTGGAATTTGCAAACATGTCGATTTTTTTTTTTTTTTTTCAAAAAAAAAATAACGGTCATATAGTTTTTATGACAGTTTGTTAACCATCCATCTTAAATTCCAAACATGATTTTAACTTTGGTTTAGCGATTGTGTAATTTCGAAGGCTGTTTACTCCATATACGTTATGTGTTTTTCAAAATTAGTATTCTGATCAAATGAATCATCTACGCACATTAAAATATGCAAACCTTATGCATGAAACACATCATGTAAATATTTATTCAAGTTTGCAAATAAAAACAAAAGACGACGTTTGGTGGCGATCGATTGAATTAAATATAACACTCAAAATAATAAGAAAACAATCTATCTTTTCGATGATTAAAACGAACATATTTTTGTGTACGGTAGAAATAATTGAATGAAGAGAGCAACAACAAAAAACTTTTACTCTTCGACATTTGCAGCTTGTAGTATTTATATGCAATGAAAATATCAGTGCTCACACGCAATAGCACCATGTTATGGTATGGAATGAATGGTATCTTGAGCGTTTGATGGTTTGCTCAAGCACATGTGTGTTCAGTATGCTTTTGAACACAGAAACTGATTCCACGAAGAAATTGCGGCTGCTGTTAATTCGTAAATTCATTTGTGCGATTAATTTTGATGAACACGAAACGAGTTAATAGTCGAGAGAAAAAAGTGTGCTGTGGCATTAAGTGGAATAAAATCTATTAATTTTTTGCGGTATTTAATCTCTAAATTGTCAAATAGAATAAATACAGTTAAAATTGAAAATCATTTTTTTTTGACATGATGGGCTAATTGTGTTTGGATTTAATAAACGTTGAAAATTCACTTTTGCAAAATTCCAACTGGCCATTTTCTATTTGTTTTCTATCGAATATTTTGTTATAGAAATGTTTTAGTTCCAAAGCAATCACTCATTTTTTGCAGTGTGAACATATTTTTATAGTATATTGGTCATAAATTTGCAGAATATGTGCTTGCTGTTTTTGTATTTGTATTTTTATCAATGATATCAACACAACGATTGTTCGATGCGTTCCGGTGCGCTGCCATTCAAGTTATGAAATTCCATTGATGTGTGGCACCTTTGATTTTACTCACTACAATTCTATGAATTGTTTCCTATTATAAAGAAGTATTATCACAATAAAGCGGCAAGTTCTAATATTTCTCACACACAAAAAAAATGATGGAAAATAGAACAAAGACACAATTATCCATGCACACACACAAAAAAATGATGTTGGTGCATTTCTGTTTGTTGTAAGCTATCAGTATCAATTTGCAGTGGCAGACTACTAACCAAAAATTAATTGAAAAAGAAAATGTTAAAAATGCTTTACAACTAAAACTTTGCCAAAATTCAAACAATCATTTTGTGTGTGTGCGACTCAGAATGTCAAATAGATAATAGATGGTGGATGAATTCACACAGATACGTATAAAACCCGATTAACAATTTACATTGTTCTGTTATTGGAACACTTTACCTATTAGCTTACAAATCTCTTTTATTGGCGATTTTCCTTCATAGTGTTATCATACTACTCCAAAAAAAAGATGTAGGAAACTAGTGTAATTAGTTCAATTAGTACAAATTAAATCCATTTTGTATTTAAAGAGAACAAAACTGAGATAATTTTCTGTGTTTATGAAAGATGATGTGCAATTTGTGGAACAAATCTAGAATCTAGATGCATTGCTATGAATGCCAAAACAATTGGTTTGTTATAAATGCAAAGAAAACAATGGATGTGATTTTATGAGTCAAGAAAAATGCTAATTCAAAATTGTCATTCTATAGACACTTTTCCGAAGGCATATATCAAATCATATCCACAAAAAACTGAACAAATGGAGTGAGTCACCTTTCAGAGAGATCACTGAGAAAATATCTAATTTGTGAATGATATTCAACAATCATAAAGATCATTTTATATGAGAAGAAGGTCGTCTGTCGATAATTCAAAATTTGCAATAATTCAAACTGAATTTTGAAAGCCAAACCCAACTTTGGCAACTTTTCGAATGAATTTAATGGTTTCAACCACATCGAATTGTCGAGAGTCGACTGTAGATGGTTAACATAATTTGATCGACCAATTCAGATATTTATTAGACTAATCACATGCTCAACGAGTCAAAATTACCATTGCAAACTCTTGCCGTACAAAACGAATTACAATTTCGGGGTAATTTTCTGAACATTTTTATATGTAAATGAAGAAGCAATGTTCGAATAATTTAAGAAATTAAGTAATAGAAATAAAAACATGTAAAAATGAAATGAACAATAGATACAATACAACATGCAATGGTAGCAATATAAAAAGCATGAAAAAAAATTATTTGAAATGTATGTATTAGAGTATTGAAGTTAAGTTGTATCGATTTAAACGCGTAAATATATTCACTAATTAAGGTATACAATTTCGAATCGGTAGCATTGTGTGCATGAATTTTTTTCTATTTGCTCTGAGAAAAACTGCATAAACCTGCGAATAGTCCCCGAATATGAAAAACAAAATTACCAAAAAATTCACAATGAATTGAACAACACGAAAAAAAAAATGAAAATTAAAAATGGAAAGGAATTTAAAGGCGCAAAAACAACCGAAATAAATACAATTGTAAAGTGTTAATTAAAAAAAAAAATAAAGGAAAATCACTGGGAAATATTGGTGTGTGTGTATGAGCGGACGGAAAGCAATGGTGCGAAAAAATCAAAACAAATAAATGCAGACACTGGCAGCGGCAACAACATCATAAATTAAACATGAACATTAACATGATTGAAATAGCACGCATAATATAAACTCATCTATTTAATTAACGTTTATGGCTTTTTTCCACCTTTCTCCACATCGCACACAAATTTTGATGCTTCGGATTTTTTTTTTAATTCTTCGTTTCTTTTTATGGCATATGTATTTATTTTACAATTTTGATAAAACAAAGTATCAAAAAATTGAAATGCATCATATGGATTGAATGTTCAAATGCTTTGCAATCTATGGCATTCGGCTGCATAACTATGCAGAAGCAATAAACACCAAAGTGCTTGAAAAGAAAACCGCAAAATGATAGAGCAAATAAATTTCACACAAAAAAGCACATACAAAAGTAGACATTTTTCGGAAAGATAACAAGATTATTCCCAGTTTTTTTTTCTGTCTCTATGTTTTTACAAAGACCAGATAAAATCATCTATCTATAGTCATTTTATCGGCTATTAAAATGAATGATTTTATTTATGTGTGCGCAATGCACGTAAACCTACCAATGCACATTTTTTTTGAATTGGTGAAACTTTTTTTTGAGCTATTGTACATATTTTCAACTTGTTTCACAACATTCGAGAGCCTCTGTTCCCCGAACACCAGCCCAGCTATTGCTAAAGAGTTTATTTTTTTGTGTGTGAACATAGCTATAATGGAAATTAAACTTTTTCTCGTTTAAAATTAAAATTAGGCCGCTTTCAGTAAACTAAGTTGAAAAAAAAATATATTATCTAATCGAAAATTATAAATGTTGTTTTAGAATCGGTATGATGAACTATCATCAGTCTCAGTCTCGATCATCGCGTATCAAGTCATTGCCACGAAATGATGACTCAATCTATTGCTCTGCGATCGATACATTATCAAATTCAAATGTAACCGATATGACACGATCATCGAGTCGACAATCAGTCAGTGCACATTCACGCAATTACATTGATCCGTGGGATTTGGAAAATTATGACTACATAAGGTATGCAAATTAACAAATGACTGCATAAGAAACAATAAACGATCTATGCAAATTTTCAGAAGCATGGAATCCAATGAGTCGAATCCCACACCAAATTCATTTCAAGATGATATATTGAATCCATATTATTTAACAAGTGAGTTCATTTTGTTTGGGCACGCTAACATTGATGTATTTATGTAAAATATGTTAAACGAATGAAAATAACTATGCAAATTGCATATATAATGAGTATGCAACTGCTGTATATTTGTTTGAAAATAGTTGTACGTTTTTTTTTAAATCAATCATTCGCCTGATATTTGATTTTCTATTTAAAATACGTAACACAAAGCCTTGAACTAAAAACGGCTAATTTGAACCTACAATTTTCCAGACAACAAAATTGACGATTGCCCATGTTACGCAGGTTTGGACGAGCAATTATTTTACAATGCAAAATACGAAATGATTCCGGACGCTTTCACAGGTGAAACTTACTTTTGAAAGTGATTTTTATATTTTGATTTTATCAAATACATTGTTTCTTTTTTCTTCTACTATTTTCCCAAGATATGGAAGACATATCATCAAACTCATGTAGTGGAAGTACAGTGTCGACACTTCGGTCTCATCCACAGATACATTTTCCACCGCCGCCTATGCAAGCATCATCTGCGTACGAGTGCTATGCAAATGTGGTTGTACCGAAAAGACGTAGCATACCATTCAACAATGAATCGATCAGTGTGTATCACGATGTTTTGAATGATCAATTACACGAAACACCACCAATTCAATATCCACAACCACAATATTATTATGATCAATATGGTGGTTATGAATGTATTGAAATGCAAAATATGCCAGTATACTATGCGCCAAGCAAATTTCGCGATGATTATGATATATACAACAAGAGACGACACCTGGAACGATTTGGACTGAGTAAAAAAGGTCTGCTGCAAATTGACTACAGCGTTAGTTGGATGAATCTACAACGGCTCATATCGAGCAAATGATCAACACGTATAAACGTGTTGTATTTCAGACCAAATGCACGCTAAAACCGATGAAATTAATAAGATATTTAGTCAAGTAGAGGCATTGGACAATATTTTAACAAAACACTAAACTGGCATTATAGTTAATATTGCAATATTTTTTTTGTAATGATAATTTGATTAAAATGACACATTGTATTGCATAAAATAAAATAAAATATACAATTTCACATTTTATTTTGTAATTGTTTTTATCAAAAATTGTTTGATCAACATTGTAAGTCGCCAATAATGTCAAGTTGTTGTAGTTTGTGAGATATTAGCTGATGTCACGCGCAGTTTAAAATTTATTTTGTCGTTAAATGATTATTTTGGTTGTTTTTTTTTTTTAATTTTCTTGAGTACCGAAATCAAAATTCTTGAGTACCGAAATGAAATCTTGATTACCGGTTTTCTGTGAAAAAATGTCTTATTTTACGCTCTGTTTTTGTTACTAAAGAGTTTGAATAAAAATACAGAGCTACTGAAAATACAATTTCACTGTAATGAAAATATATCAATGCTATTGAACGTAGAAAATTGTTATTGAAAAATGGCAATACCAGTCGTAGTAGTTGCTTTACGTAAAAATGTAGTAAAAGAACTTAACTACGTTCGAAGATCATATGTGACACACGTGATGCGCGGAAGTGCTTCTCACCACATGAATTTTAGTCACATATCAGCCGTCACTAACATCAGACGTACATACGATTGATTGTGGTAAGAATTTTTTTTTTTTGAGTAATTCATGTAGCTTATTCAAATATAAAACTGAAAACATTGAATTTATTATATATTTTCTTGAAAAAGTTTGATAATATTCGATCGGCGCATAGGATAAATATTTTTTTTTGTTGTATTCT